CCTCCCTCGGTTTCTTCCCTGGGCTGTCCGGGGTCTCCTCGGGGGTCGGGAGGGACCCAGGAGGATGAAGGGCAGAGGACCGAAGGGGCGGCCCCACCCGGAGACTCAGCCACGGGGCGGAGCGGGAGAGTCCCGAAGCTGCCCTGGGGAAGAATCCGGGCTTGTTGCCTGATGGATCAGGGCCAGTTCTCGGTTCCGCTTCGGGGGAGCCCAGCGCTTCAGGCCGGGGGCGGGGAAGGAAGCGAAATTCCAGCATTCCTTCAGTTGTTGTGGGTTGTGGAAACAAACAAGGTTCCTCTGTGTGTTTGTGTGTGGGTGTGTGTGTGGAGGGCTGGGGAGGGGGCAGGAGGAACTCAGAGAAAATCAAAATCCTGCTGGGGAAACGTGAAAAGAGTCCAGGAGTTCTACTTTGATCAGGCGCTGCCTGCATCTGGGACACTGTTTGTGCGACTGGCTGTGTATACACAACTGTTGTGCAGTGCGGTGAGCCCCTCCCCTCCCTCCCCTCCTGCTCTGGAGAGTTTCTCCTCAAGTGATAGATGTTCCTTTAACATTCGTTAATTGTTCCTTTTTTTAAAAAAAAAATGTGCCTGAACAAAACCTCCTTGCTGTGGATACAACAGATTTTTGAAACTTTGGGTAAAAAAAGGAACTTGGACACAAAAGAGGGGATGTGGAAACCCAACACAGGGTCAGTCAAAAGGCACTCATATGCCTCTACACACCAACGCTCAAAGTAAGAGGAATAAACAGGGAGAACTTGAGACCCAAAGGCAGGAGTGTCATTGTTGCAATTTCTGAAACTTAGTGGGATGAAACCCACGACTGGAAGGCACAACTAAAAAGATTTAATGTCGAGGAATTGAGCGGCAGCTGTCCAAATGAAGTGGGAGACACTGACACAAACTTGTAGTTTTACATTAATAAATGTATTTGACATCTATATTTGCAGCAGATAAGATAGTCAGGCATATCACTACATCCTGAGGTAAATCGTGAGGTAAATCACAAAAGAGCCGACAGAGCCCACAGAAGAAAAAGGCGGGAAAAAGGAAGCTCCCCCTTTACACCCGCAGCCACCAATCAGAGCACAGATCGCCTCACGCAGGAGCCCGCCCTCCCTCAACTACCAGGCTGTGTTCTGGAGGCCATTGTTCCCTTTCCTGATCCAGCTATGAAATTTAATATTTTAACCTTTAAAGTGTTCCAAAGAAACAGACCTGATATGACTTTGGTTTGGGGAAGAATCCGGGCTTGTTGCCTGATGGATCAGGGCCAGTTCCTCGGTTCCGCTTCGGGGGAGCCCAGCGCTTCAGG